TTTTTTTTTTCGTCCATAAGAGGGTTGATTAGAATTTATATTTTAAAGTAGGAAAATAAGAAGTGACTGGCAATTCTGTAATAGTACAACAATGTGGATAAAAATTCTGTGTTGTGTTGTAATTCAATTTTTTTTTTTCATTCATAAGAAAAATTAGGGATGATCACGATTTTATATTTTCATGGGAGAAATAAGAATTGACTGGCAATTCTGTAATAGTCCAACGGTGTGGATAGAAATTCAACATTTATTTCGTTCGTAAGAAAAATTATAGTTGATCACTCTTTCATATTTCGATAAGAAAGACAATAATCAGCTGCTAATGACATAACAGCACAACAGTCTACAGCGATAGTGTAACATTGCACAAATACAACGAGACTTATGCAACGCATAATAGATAAATGGATACGCGTTCTAAAGAATTAACCCTTATGTTGCCTAACAAACGCACCACGTTGTACTCCTCACACAATCTCCAAGATAAAAAAAAGCAACCAACAGACATGCTACACAAACTTGCCAAAATTCACGAGAAACACGTACCGCCAACTAGACGTTATCCTTAATTGCTCTAATTCAGTGTACCGCTCGCAACAACCCCGGTAATCTCGAAGGCTAATCGAACTCGTAGCCAATCGCCGCCAGCGATATCGCTGCGTGATATGCACACTCGATTTCTCGATCTCGCCCACGAGTATCCAATATCTTCAACGCAACGACACTTCTGTATACACCACGAGAACTCCAAAAATACGCGACGAGACTAACCGAAAGAAAGTATCCTACCTTCTGCAGCGCAGAGGAAAGAAATATCGTTATTTCAATTAGACCGAGTGACACAGATTAGCGATATGAATTCTCCGCGGCGTTCTAAATTTAATGTAGGCAAGAAACGCCGTCGTCGCAGCGATCTTCGTTCTTCGAGGGTGAACCGTGGCGAATTTTTCAGGCCAAAATTAAAGCTCAACGAGACGAGACCGGAACATTCCCCGATTTCTTCTTCTCCGCGCCGTGAACACACGTTCCTCGCAACGGCTCGAACCGGGGAAAACGAGAAACACACGTTCTTTGTCGTGATTTCTCTTCGACTAGGTACCTACGTACATACATTCACGCACACGTACGTAGCTCGAATAAGAGAATTTCAATCGGAGAGCGATGGTGTAAGAATAAAAACAGGTATTACAGAAAGGTTTTCTACACGGTGGTTGGGATGAAGAAATAAAAGTTGGAAACGGTTACGCGTGATTTAGGCTCGGAGACTGTGTGGATCACCGTATTGGAAATTAAGAAGGTGTACACAGCGGCGAAAGCTGATGTCGAACACACCTGAACGCGCTTTACGGTTATTAATGATAAGTTTACACGGTTTGCGTGTCGTACGTATTTACGGCCGGCAGTTTCTTCGTCGAGCGCAACGACTCGTTACATCATTGACGCCGGCCGCAAATGCCAGCTATCAAGCTGCCGTTGGATTATCGGCGGCAATAAGAGAATCGAACGGTAATTAACAACTTATTGTTCACCAGAGACCAGTCTGAGCTGTCGAGCTTGAAGAAATTCGATTGGAAAAGAGAGGAGGAACATGTGTATACGCGCGATGAAAACTAGGCTTAAAAGAACGATCGAACAAAGTATGCCTGCTTATCGGTGGTTTTTAGCTGGTCTATGACATAATTATGATAACGAGTGTCGCGCACTCTCTTCGAGAAAGTAGAGTCCGACGATGATTCAAAGGTTTCTCCTCTATCTTTCTCTCTGTTGTTCGGAAAATTGAATCCTTCGCGTGATTACTATGCTCGACTATATTGAAGATATTACGAACGACGTACGGCACAGCCCGGGCGATGATTAACGTGTAACGTCGACGAGCAACCGGGCAATTCGAAAGAAAAGTGTGTCAACGATAAAAGCAACACCGTGACTAAAGTGCTTTCTTGTTTATTTAACTCTGTTATAAGTGGAGTAATACTCATAGATAATAGACCATTAATTTTTATCGGCACTTAAACAATATGATACCCGAACGATTCCACTGAGTATCCGCCGTACCTCGACGCTTACACACGGAAGGAGACATTATCGGTTCTCCCGCTGGTACGAGTGAAAAATTACCACCTTAGAAACATGCTTTTTATTTCGCCGGACAATGTGCTTAGCGGAGGTGTACTTCTTCGTCGTGACCGTTTCTGATTACCAAGTTACACGACCGTTCCTCTGAATTAACATCTACAAGAGGTTCGCTAGATTTTCGAGCGATTTATCTAGGGAAAAAGATGTTTGGAAGTTGACGTAGTCGTTCGCTGACATTTCCAACTTTTACACTTTAGGTTCTTTCTCTCTCGATTCACCTCGATTTAAGGTTAGAAACACAGGAGAAAGAAAAGAGTACAGGGCACTTATTGAATAATTTTTAATCGCCATATTTCTCGAGATATTGATATAAAATTTTCACAATAGCTAGAAATTTTCTATATCCAACGGACTACAGAAAATCTATCACGATCCGTAGATCTCGAGCAGAACAATTTCCACTGAAAAACAGCCATCGAATAATCCACAAATATAGGCTGGAACGATTCCTCGGACGCAAATCAACCCTTGGAATTAGAAGGATCAATCACTCTTTTCACCACAAATTTTCATCGTCGGGAGAACCTACTCTAATTCCCCTAAAACTCAAAGAGTAAAATAGCAGAAGAAGGATAGAAAAGAGCGAGGAATCGAAAGGGTTAGAAAGGAGGTGGAAGAAGTGATTCGAATGCCGGTTTCGAAGACGCGTTCGGTCGCAAAAAGCTGGTTGATGGTAAGACGAGATAATTATTCTAGCGGGGCGCAAGCTCTTCGATCATTTCGGAACGTTGCTTTAGGCGTGGCAACACATGTTCTCAGCTCGGCGCTATGCACACCGCATAGGTATGCAGCGTACACCTATATGCAACATGTCAGGACACGTGGTACCGAATCTCTCAGGCTTGCCAACGGCTATCCATTTTCGCAACGAACAAGATCCCACGCTACAAATTATCCGTTGCGGTCGCGGCATCCAAATGAATCGGTGCAACCCCAACGAAAATCCGCCGTGCTTGCGAATCGTCGCTCCGATTTTCACGCGAGACGTCGCCAACGACTTAAAGAAATTCTAAACGTGCGATAATAAGCTACACGTGCCACGTACGGAATTCGTTTTACGAAAGGATACGATTTTATGTGAACGACTTAAAGAAATTCTAAACGTGCGATAATAAGCTACACGTGCCACGTACGGAATTCGTTTCACGAAAGGATACGATTTTATGTGACAGCGCCGTCTCCAAAATCTTGCACGTTTACACTTCTGTCATATACATTTCGCGATCCAGAGGTCGCGATTGCGATCTCTTCTTTTTTAAGGCCTCTCTATCTTCAATCGAAACATGTCAATTTAGATAGGAGAGATTAAAAAGTTGGGAGAATACGTAGACAAGTTTGCACTCGTGGCGTAAGAAAAATGACGCAGTATGAAATTTCAAACGACCGCCACGTCTGAAAATCAGAAAATCTATCCTTCGATCTACCCTGAAGTTTGAAATAGAAAAATCGTTACGTTGTGAAAGGGTTTATCGATCCTCTCGAGTGACGTGATTTTCAACGAGAATAACCCAGAAAAGATCGTAACGAGCGGCTTAATTTCATCGTACACGATAAACACATTAAGAACATCTGGGAAGAAGTCCGAGTTGAAGAAGAAGTTGAAAACGGTATTCGCGTGCAATTTCGTTAATAGCCCACTTCGAAACGAAATCAAGCAACGCTCGTAACTCGGTTTAGGGGGAAGAACGAAGAAAGCAAGCGAGGCAGCTTCCTCGACAGCTCGTAAAAGCGCATCCGCAACGACTCCGGGAGAGACGATATCCGCTTTCGCGGTGAATAGTCAACGGCATAAACGATTCATTCGCCTGGTTAGACTGGCATATGCGAACTCGCACACGTACAAACGAACACGATAGGCACACAAATAGGTGAGGCTTTTGACCGTTGAATACATTTGACTTTCAAACCGTTCAAATTATATATCCGGATTCATACATCCAACCTAACCGAATACGACGACAACGGCCATAGTTTTCTCTAAACCATGTTCACCGTGTTTCTTTCCGCGTCGAACGTCCAACGCTGAAATATGCTCGCACTTGTCGCGGATATCTCAATATCGCCTTTTGTTATTCCGACAATTGCCGCTATTATGCACGGTGTTTCTTTCGCTTTCTGCTCTCACGTACGTATTATTTCTCTCCTTCGATCAGAAATTTATAGTGTCACCGATAGAACGAGAGGAGAGGAAACTTGGCGTGCGATAAATATCGCATATTGATTCGAGATAGATGTCTCTCTACTGTGGAATCATTTTAAAGGCGAAAGTTACGTTTTGTTCGGTGCATCGAAAGGATTTTCACCGATCTCTTTCTGAACGATAATGAAACAAAATCTACGTGTCGTTGGTGCGAATATCTATCAAGTTTCTCTAGAGAAACGGTGCGGCAAATGTTTCGAAAACATCTCTAAGCCGAACTTTTCCAACGCTCGGGGATTCGAGCGAGTCGCAACACGGGGAAACTTTGTCAAAAAAGTATCGAGGAACGATTTGGGCAAACACGAGGACGGGGGAGGGTAACGAAGTTCACAAACCAGACGATTGATTTCAGTCACGGCGCGTTGATTGATGTCATCGAAAGACATCGATTCGAGAGGGGTACATCCATCACTATGGTAAATCGTATCACTCGGCTGCATCGCGAAACTGCCGGTGGTAAAGCGGTATAGGAATTCGAGTCGCGAGAGCGACGTGTGCGCGGTAGGGCAGGAAAAGTGACGAGGACTCACCTGTAGATTTGGCGATCCTCGAAAAGAGAACTGTGACATGATGTGTCGGCCACTCAGGGCCGTGATGGTCGGGCGCCGCTACGCGATCATCCTTTCAAACCGTGGCATCTGTTTCAGTCTCACACCAAGTCACAACGAAAAAATATAACCAAATATCGGATCACTTCTTCTCGTCTCCTCTATTCTCTGTATCCGTGTTACAATTCTCCGCTTCTCTCCCCCCCTCCTTTTCGTTCACCAAGCAGAAGAACGGCACGACGTGTGATGAAAAACAAACAACAAACAAAAGAGTCGTACGAAACCGGCGGAACCAGGCCAAGTCACCAAGAATTTTTCGGTTTGGAGAATTTTTTTCACTGTTTCAGATACGTGTGTAAACTCGCGCGCGTGTTTTATTGCACTGTCCTAGGTAACCCGCTCTTGTACTCGACCCTGAAGTCGATTCTTCGCTCGTGTTATACACTGTACGCACTGTCACAAACGCAGGCACAAACGAGAGACAGGGACCAGTTTTCCGATCTCTGACCACAACGTAGTCGTATAGATGACACTGTGTCGGCCACGGGGGAGATTCTCTCCGTTCACGGGACGACTAGCCTCGGAGACCGATGACAACCGTAAGTCAACCGAGAACAGTTTTCACACTTAAGTCACTGCCAGGGTACGAGAGAGAGTGTGTGATCGTGTACACGTAGAAAAACGTTTCGTCCAGGTGTGGGTGGGAAAGGTTGAACGTGGGGCCCGAAGAACTGTTGTAAAACTGATTACAAACGGATAGAAAACACGTTGAAGTGCGCGTATTATTATGCACACAGAGGCCAGGTGGACGATGATGGGGTTCGTGTGACTAACTCACGCCGTTGATCCGATCGACGCGCCAGCTATGATCGGTCGCGACTATCCTCCGAATCGTCGTTTCTTTTCGACGGAATCCAGTCCTCCGCTCGGTGGATAGGAAGGCGGAGGTACATAAGTGCGAGAGTGAGGAAGAAAGCACGATACAGAGAGAGAGAGGAAATGAGAAAGCGAGACGGGATAGAGGGAGGAGCGAGCGAGAGGGAGAGCTAGAGGGACGGACAACAGGCGAAACGTGAGATAGAGAGGGAGAGAGTGGTAGGTCGAGAACTCGAGCGATGGTGACGGAGAGACGTTCGTGAAAAAGGAAAGGTGAGGATCGACTTGTTCGTGCACACCGTTCTTCTCTCTTCTTCTTCTTCTTCCTTTTTTTTCTCTGCTTTTTTTCTTTTTTTTTTCTCTCGTTCTTCTTCTACTCCTCTCGCTCGTAGAATCCTTTCCAACACACGACGGATTGCTTAGCACCCCGGTTACACTCACACACGGTGCGAACGGTGAAACTCGTATTTGTTCTTTCTTTTTCTTTTTTTTTTCTCCTATAAATCGAAAGTTGGTCGATCACAAGTTTCTTGACACACGGTTTGTAACGGAGTACCACTAATGCTGTGCGCGCACTCTAAACAAGTAACTAGAAACTGGCGCGGCTCACACGTGTACAACGCCTCGGCACTTCTGTCTTCGTCCTCTGCGTGATCCGCGTGCGTGTGCGTCCACATGTATGCATATGTTCTCACTCGTGTTTAGAGGGGGTACAAGAAGGAGAGCGCGTGTCCATGCGACGATGCTACTTCCCTCTCCTCTCACTCTCTCTCACTCTCTCCTCTTTGAACTTGGCGGAAAACTTCTTTTGCGCGCGGCTGTTGTACGGGACGATGGTTAGCTTAGTTATCGAGTATGTACGATCTCGATTATCCCCGTGTCGATTGACGAGTATCCACAAACACGCGCACTTTTTCTACTTTTTCTTTTTCTGTTTCTTTCAAATCGCCACTGACATCCGACGGTTTAATCACGGCGATCACCGGGTGTACAAATAAAAAACGGCGAATCCTGGGACAGTGTATGTAGGTTGTTCGTCAAAGGAGCGAAGAACGCAATCGAAATCCGTAAGTTCTGGTATCCTCGTTCCGCGAGATGACGGTTGATCGCGGTGTAGGAGGAGGCGGCGGTACAGTGACGGTGGCGCTGGCGATAACGATGGTAGTGTGCCGATGGTGGTGGTGGTAGTGACGAGAAACGGTCGGCTCGACAGTGGTGGTGGCAGAGTCGTCGCCGTAGTTCTTTTCCTTCCATGGAAAGGGGGACGATTTTTGCGAGATGGTTTGCCCTCGGTGAGACGGGTGGGAGGGTCCAGGCTGGCACGCCGCGCGGTGTGGTGGGGGAGCTGGTGCCACCTCTGCTGGTGGCTGATGATGCCACTACCGGCACCTCGTACCCACGCGAATTCGTACCGCACTCTACTAGTAGGCCGAGTGTTCTGTGTAGTTCTCTCTTCTCTCGAGTCAGGTCGGCATCTTCGTAGATCGGGCACGGAGCCGTACGCCGGCGGTTAGCGTCGGCAAACGCGACAATAAAATATGGTGAGTCGCCCGTGGGGCCAGCTAACGCGCTCCCTGCCTACCCCCTCTCGCTCCGACTCCCGGCTCGTCCCTCTCTTTCTCTCCTTTTCCTCTTTCTGTTTCTCCGTCTCTCTCTTTCGCAACACGTACCGATCTCTTCTTCTCCCTCGGTCGTTCCTCGCTCCTCGTCCCTCGTGACGCCCCACCGTCGCTGCTTTCTTCCCTCTTCGTTCGGCTTTCGTTTTGGTGGAGGGGATGGGTGCCCGAGCCAGAGGGGGCGCAACCGGCCGAGATGCTGCCGTTGCCACCGTGTTCGGCTCTGGTGGGGTCAAGGGAGAGGTAGGTTGCGTTAGGAGGGGCGAGAAGAGGAGGCAGAAACTACACGACAATTTTAGTTCGATAGATCCCGAAGTTTAGCCTCGGCGGCGCTGCTTTACTTGCCGCTGACTTCTTCCCGGTAGTTTGTTCGCTGCCCTCTCTCCCGTTGCTGTTCGCTTCTCCACCTCTTTCTTCGACACGACCGCACACTCTCACGTCTCCCCACCACCCACAGATATTCCCACTCCCTCTTTCTCTCTCTCTCTCTCGCTATTTCTCTTTCTCTTCTCCTTCCCCGCGCGGCGATCGTCAACTACTTCGTACCCCCTCGCTGCCTGTACACCTCTGCCCTCCCCCCACCCACCTCCTCAGATCCTCCTCCTTGCTCCACACACAACGCGACACTTGACTACACACAACCTTCCTCTCTCTCTTTCTCCCCGTGACAGAGAGAGAGAGAGACTACGACGACTCGGTTTGCTGTTTCCCTTTCACTCCGATCAACCACCGCCGCGACGTCTCTCTCGCTTGACACTTATACAGTGAAACGCACGATCACCGGCTGACGAACGTATTACACGAGCACGTTTACGCGGCATAAACGCGTACCGGCAGTTTAATGCGCCGATGATGCGTCGATGTCCCATCGCGCGTTTCACCGACAATTGTCATCGAGTATATGTATATTGGAAAGTCGCGATGACAAACGACGACGGCTCTTTTCGATTGTCTCTCCTCCTTTATAAAGATTCCAATTCTTTCCACGTAATCGCGATGGGAAATTTGAAAACTGATACACGTCGGAGCGACTCTATCGCCAGACGGGGGCCGAATTGAATCAAACCGAATCTGGCCAACCGTTGTACGCGATTGCGGCAACGTGCCGACGATCACTAACAATATACAAGTTGACAACGGCGAGCGACGGATACGATGACGACAACGACGACTTCGGCCGTGGCGTCGCGAAAGTGTGTTTTGCGCAGTTCTTTCAAGGGAACTCGCCTCCTCGCGCTTACTTGTCGCCCTCCTGGCGCGACCGCCGATCAAAGGGGCGGGTAGGGGCGGCTGTAGGTGGCGGATCGCGAGCACAGAGGTTGCGGGGGAGGATATTCGCGTGGAACGAGTGGGGGCATTCGAAGGGGACGATGAGGTTCGCGCGGGGTGGGTAAAAAGGTGCACTGACATTTTTCGCCGGCCGGCAGATTGCCGATATACACACCTACCTACCAGAGTACCTGCCAGCCAAGATATTTTTGCCGTTTCGTGGTGAAACACACGCTCGCGCTTACCCCTCGCTTAAACGGACATCTATGTAGTGGTACTCGGTTGCGAGCAGGAAGAAGTGAGATCGAGCGAGAGCGAGAGCGAACTGGATAAATCGTCCCCTTCCACACTTCTTTCGTCTCCCCTCTAATACACCGCGGTGGGTGCGGAGCTCGGCTTTTTTCCCCTCCGTGGGCGCGGACT